ATAGAACAGAGACAGCGTAATCTTCAGCTGACTCATCCTTCCTTTCTTGTTTAACTAAGGCTGAAATTCTAGCTGTTGCTGGAGACTGGCACTGTCTTCCCCACCTTTATAAAGTTTCAAGAAATTTTGAGTTGAATATTTTTTTTAAGAACCACTTTCATCAGTAAGTACAGTGCAGTAAAACAAGGGTTATGCATATGGAACAAGTTCTGTATGTGATTGAGTAGTAGTTAACATCAATGCTGATTCTTACATTGAACCTTAGCATCATTTTTGTCTTAATTTGCTGTCATTTTAGGGAATCAGTTGAAACACTGGCAACAAATCTATTAGAGTAGATGCTATCACAGAGTTGAAAACAGACTAGTGAAGGTAAAAGAAATGTTCAGTCAAGCCTGTTATTCTGTTCACTCATGGAGGCAGCAAGGAGACATGAAGCTTCCAATACAGTTTAGCTAACAGTGGAAAAAAATCCTGTCTAATAGAATCTGATACAAGGATGAACTTCCAATGATTCTCATAAACCATTTGCATTCTACAATCTTTCTTTATAAGGACACTAATCTAGTTAATGACAGAACAAAGTAGTAATTAGGACCAAGGATATCACTTTACTGATCAGCAACTCCAGAGAACTCATAGAAAATGGAGTTCTAATTAGACACAGCCAAATCTGATCTTTCCCAACTGGCACAGATCTTTCATCACTTGGATCTGCAAACAACTTCAGTAGATGAAAATGAAGACAAGGAAATTCAAAACTCTTTCCAGTTCGAGGTGAGATTAAGTTTAGCCACAGCCTTTTTACAAAGCATAACTGACAAGCCAAGCACAAAGCTACCCTCTCGCTGCATGCAAACTAATTTAAGAGCTAATCTGTGAAATCGATTAAATCCTGTTGGCCAACACAAGGGAGCATTGCCTCAGTTTCTCTTTTCATATCAAAACTAATGGGATTCTTCCAAAGGCTAATTGGCAGCACTTATGATCCAGAAGTGCCCTGTACACAGGATGTGAAATTACTCCACACAGTTGAGAGAAATGCATGGACACAAGAGCATATCATAGGTGTGATCCTGAGGCACAGCTACAATGCACGGACACAAGCTCGCTGTAGGGAGAAGAAGCATGCCTCTGAGTCTTACAGATCACCTTAGCACTACTTTGTTCTTGTTTTGTGCAGGTTATTTCCATGCACTAAGTGAGCCTGTCAAGCGCTGTAACGAAATACTCCAGCCAAGTCCCTTTTTATTCTAGCCAGGCCCCCTTGCCCTGAGTTTACAGGCAGGTTCTGCAAGTGTTTATCTGGCACATACTACACTACCTTAGATAACCTATGTAGTTATTCTTTATAATTCCACTTCAAATAGTCTCTCCAGCTTGAGGGCCAAATTCAGTAGTGCACTTAAGTCTCACAGCATGCGTTTCTAGACAATTAACAGATGCTGTATTTAGAGCAGACACGAAAATGCACAGACTTCAACAACCACAGTATATATCCAGCATCACCAGCAGGCTGGTATTCAGATTATTAGCCTGTGCCACTGCAGCTCCATTATTGTTACCTGGACTATGCGCACCCAGGCTACAGTCGCACTGACTGGAACATTGACCTAAATGGCACTCAGACATGAAGTTACACATGTGCTTCAGGTTCCTTGCTAAATTGTGGCTCTAGCAAAATAGAACAGTGATATACGCCGTGACTGATATACTGACAGAGTGAACAGTTAAGTTCCTAGCAGGTGCAATAAAATGTTTCTCATAACAATCTCCCTCGCTATTCCAAAACCATGTGTTTAAAAAAAAAAAAAAAAAAAATCAAATTGTGAAGGTTGCTAAGTAACAGAATAGTAACCTATTGCACCATTCAGAAAACAAACCATTCAAGAACTTAATCTAGTATCTTTTTCATTTCCTAGAAATAGGCATTGTCCTTACAAAGGTTTTTGTGTATTTGATATGAATATCTCATCACCATGCAAAAACCTTAGTTTTGACCTAAGGATTGTTTATGTGCTTCTTTATTCTTTTCCCTTGATTTTTGGTGCCTAGCTATTTTCTTTTAAAGCATATCATCAAAAAGGAAATATGTCAGTTCACAGTACTGTTTGACAAAAGTACTTATGGTTGTTTCTTTAAAATAATATCAGTGTCACTAGGAAAGTATGCAATAAATTTTACAGCGAAGTGTCTGTAAACTTGTGTCTCAGCTTGTCAGTATATACATTTTTCTCCTTTTTCATAGAAGCTTTTATATTGGGACATTATTGCAGGAAAAAATAGGAATTTCAGTCCGGGATAAAGTTATTCTAACATTGTGGTTTTCAACCTCATTAGACTCAAAGCACCCCTCCGAAAATGCCAGCTCTTAAGCTCTACTTATTTTTTGACTACAGAAAAATAATAGAGCAATTCTTCTATTTCAAAGAATTCAGAAAGCCCACAGCTGGTCAGGATGGTTTTTACCACTGTGGAATCCTATTTGAAATCCCAGGTTTTACCTTCTGAATCATGTTTGCACACCTCAAAGTGCCAACATTGTGTGACACCCTGCAACACCCTTGACAGGATCTCAGGGTGGTACAACACCTTGGTTGTGAATCACTGTTCTAACATGCCTCATTAAAATAACCAGAGAAGTGAAAGTAGGGGTGCACTGCCATGAAAACGACTCCAATTTGAGCCCCCCCCCCTTCATCTGCCATCAGTTTTAGTCACCAACAGCAACCAAAGACCCCAAATGCTATTATAGCAGAACGAAAACATCAGTTTGGATGGGCCTTGCACATTAAATAGTAAACACAACGCTTTACTGCTCTCGGCTGAATGTTACAGATTATCTGTGCTATGCTAACACTTGCAGGTACTTTGCAATCCCATGGTATCCAGTGAAGGAACAGCAGTGTAGGACAGTGGCCTGGGTTCTGGGGAGGTGTAAAGACTATGATGAGAAATGTGGGGTTCCCTTCCCATTTGACAAGATCTTGGATAAACATTGGTGCAAAACAATGGCATTGTCCTTTCCACTCTCCTCACTGATCCCTGAATTGGATATCATTTAGACTACTGACAAAGTGTCAGCTAATGCCTAATCAGACACAGTCCAGGCAGAGGAAGAAGAGTCTCCCTGTCTTCATTAGGCACTGGCAGGGAAGGAGTCTGAGCATGTTTTCTAATTTAGCCTGCAGCCATCTCATGTGTTTCCATAGGGGATTGTTTCTCTGATATGAAGTGACTTGCCTTTACTCAACTGCCACATTCAATAAGGATGCCTGGTCTGACCAAGAGGATCCTCTCGTCTCCTCATCCTCCTCCTGTGAGGCATTGTAGGACTCCACAAAGGCCAGGAGGAGGGACACAAAGGAGCAGCATGTACTGGCTCCACATGGGGAAAGGAAAGCCTGAACAAAAGTTAACACACACAGCCCCAAATCAGCTCCATAACCCCACCTGACCCCAGATTGTAAATTCAGCGTATAGGGGTTCAGCGGGGCCTCCTGAAGTGGGGAAGGAATGGCAGTCTGTTTGGACTCTGAAAAGCAAAACAAGATCCAGATTCTTGGAAGAAGCCAGTCTTGACCCCAAAGGAGCTAATACAGAGTTCAGCTCTGGAAAGCAGCTGAGTAAAAGCTACCTTGCACCAAAAGGTGCTCTGGTTACAAGTGAAAAGATGGCTTTTTCCTACTGAATAAACCTACCAATTTAAATCCAATAGCCAAGCTGTGGCCTTGGCTTCTAATGTGTCATCAGCAATAATAAAGTGTCTGCAAATCAAATGTGATCTCCAGTGAAACCTCTGCTATCTCACTGCCCTCAGTCAGGTCAGAGGGGTTTCTCATTAGAGCTTAAGTGAAGTGTCTATTGATGCCCAAGAAGGAAGAAACTCTAGCTCAGTCTCCTACAGCTGGTCAGACCCCAGTGGGGAAAAGGCAGCAAAAACCTTCTAGTTATTGAAATCCTTCATTGAAGCAAGTGTGACTGAAGAGCTATTGAGTGTGAAGGCACTATTTTTTGTAGTTGCCTCTCAGTGGAGAAGATGCATTAAGGACTGGTTTTAAAAATAACTGTGGAGTGAAGCAATCTTTCCATAATTTTCCTCGCTAGATCAGCTGTGAACACGGGTGAGTGGCTGGAAGACCAGAAGTCAAGAGTTTGAAGCCCCAGCAGAAGTGCTCACAGCATGGCTCTGTTAGTTTCCAGTGAATCTACAAATTCTGCTAAATACCTTGTCACAAGGACACGAGAAAGGAAAGGACGAGACCAGCCATTGAACACCAGCTCATCACCGATTTAGTGGCTGCTGTTACAGAACTCTGGCATTATGTTCATTAAGTAAAGAGCTAATGAACAAAGCTGCTGGGTACTCTAGGAAAAGTTGCTAACAGGAAATGAATAACTGGATGACAAGGTACTGACTGTGAGAGCAGTCGGCTGTAGTCATTACTGCATTACTGAAACACAAGTTTTCACGTGAAGTACAACAGGAAGTATTCCAGGCCATGGAAGCAGTAATACAAAAAGGAACCCAGCACAGCCTTATCTGTCTCCTATGGCATTATCTTCACAGAGAGCATACAGTCTAAACAACCACTGTAAGACCAGTATCTGAGACTGGGGCTCTCTCTTCCGTATACCTGTATAATGTCCTCCACAATAAGACTGATCTCAGCTGCAGCCTCTAGGTGCAGCTAAATATAAATATAGCTAAGAATAAAACATCAATGCTTCAGCCTTGCAAGGCTCTCTCAAGCGGAATTGTATACCCATGTGACCCTCACATCTGGCATTGTACACACTGGGAAAGGCTGAGGTAGGCTGGCCATTAGATTTCTTTAGTTACTTCCTAAGTAAGTACAAATCCTGTTCCTTGCCTTAGAGAAATTCTCTACAAGCAAAGACCTCCAGGAAAACAAAGCACTGCAGGAGCCAGACAAGAAAAGAGCCTGAGTTCCTGCACAGGTAGTGTGCACTTCAGCAAGGGCACAGAACTGTGTGCACCTTGCTAAGTCTACTGCATACACGAGTAACAGCACCAGGTGATGCCTTAACAAGCACTAGCAAACAGACTGGGACACAGGACAGCATGTCTAGCAACAATCCTGCTCCCCTCCTATCAAAGATATTTTCTGGCCCTCACTGTAACATCTAACTCTCAATATGCATCTTCCCACAGCACCTGTGAAGTGCTCTTATCCCATTTTCCAAGTAGGGAACTGATATATAAAAGGGTCACCTGGGGAGACCATGGCAAGGGAAGTCCCATCTGGTGTCCTACCAACAGACCATCTTTCATTCCTACCCAACTGCATGTGCCAAGTGCTTGCTCCCCAGCACAAAACAAACCTCAGTAGAAAACCCCACTGATGTGCGCAATGGACATGGCTAAGCCCTCTCTGGAGGGCGCTGCTGCTGGAACTGTATTCTTAGCCACTTGTCCACATGCACCACTCATTTGGAATAAGACCAGATTGACTTAACAAAATATAGGGCTCAGGAACAGGGACATAGGGACCAGGAAAGTAAGAGGGGCAGGGTGGGGAAAAAAACAGCTGGGTTCAGGCTCTCCTATCTTACCTTTTATTTGAATATTACTCACACTGCCCATGACTGCTTCCTCGCTGCTGTGGGTAGTTACAGCCATGGCCACCAAGATGGGCTCCCTCTTCCCTTTGAAGTATGGCTCCTGTTTTGACAAGGAGAAGCTGCCTCTGTCCTCCCTTAAGTTCTGGAGAGCGGGACAAAGTAGCTGATGACCGGGTAAAGAATCTGTCAATCAATGAGAGCTAGGCTGTCCTGGAAAGCCAGGGAGATCTCTTGCAATCTGATTTCTCAGGGAGGTGAATATTGCTGTTACTGAGCTCCTCCAGTGCAACAGCTCCATATTCCGGAAGAGCCACCACTGACCTCACTTCTACTTCTAAAGTTAACACACACATGCCTCAATGTTTCAAATGTATCTGCTGATGCATGTTTGTTAGAAACTATATTTGATTTGCTGTAAAACAGTTCCTGTAACAGCAGGGTTTCAGTATAAATACACTGGGCTTACTCTAGAGCTCTGTAGGCAACAGCAATACCCACAGTGACTTCCAGGACAATAGGTTAGATTCCAAGGGTGTTGTCATGGTACAAGATAGAGTAGCAGCTATGCTGTCAGATCTGGGTTTCACACAAGCCAGGACACTGGAAAGTAGTTTCATACGGAGGGAGGTCTGATTCCCAGGTCTGTTGGAAAACAGCCCTGCTTCTTTGGCATCAGTAGAAATATCCATATACAGGAAAGCAAGGGCCGTGTTTTAATATCTTATCAGAACGTGAAGTCTTCTAAATAGCTTCACAATGTGCCCTCAGCATTAGAATAGAGGCATTTGTCTGGTTAGAGATCTACTAACTTTTGGAGCAGAGGTAAAAGAGCTGCCAACTAAGCCACATTGACACTCACCACTGAAGATTTAATGCTTCTAGCTTTTTTGGCATAGATCAAGTATAGCAAATTGTTAAATATATGATACATGCCCCCTACATGCCTGGATACTGGTGAAATGGACTTGCTGATCTAGTAAAATTCTCCCATCTCCAGCTGCTACCATCAGAGACTCATACATTCTGGACAAGATCAAAGTACACAAGGAGAACTGAAATCCTCAAAGTCATCATCATAGTAACAGCAACATGGTTTCATGAAAGGAGATGTGAAGTAAAGACCATACCCAGTTTCACTGAACTAAGTGACAGACACACCTGCAAGTTAGCACCTGGACTTATCTGAGACCAGTTGTTGATTCTGCTAATTGCTCACTGGATGCCTTTGACAAATCACTTCACTTCTCCGTACTTCATTTCCCCATCTACATCATGCAGACAACACTCCATGGGTACTGTGAGGGTCAAGTAATTAAGTGTGTGTGATTATACCATGTCCCAAATGCATTTGACAGAAAACCTGGGTCCTAACCTAGCAAAAAAAGAGCATGTTTACATTTAATCAAACTATTATGCCATCCTTATCCAGCCAAAAACCTACACAAAGGCTTCGTTTTAATTACACATTTCAACCAACCATTGAAATCAGTGGGACTTAAGCATTTGCTTCTGTGCTTTGATGGATGGGGACTCCAGTCAATATTTAAGATACAAGCAACTGGAAAAATAAGCCAGACATCCTTCTTGCAAAGGAGGAGTCAAATGATCACACAGGTAACCCATTTGGTCCAAGTCAACAAAACCAAACAAACCTTAAAGACAGGGAGCTAAGAGGTCTGCATTATGTCCATGCAATGGAATCAGCCCTCTGGTTGTTTGAGTTTCTTTATTAACCTGAGTATAACAAATAACATGTACACGGTATAAAAATGAACATAGAGCATGAAAGAGGTACAGGTACAACACAGATACGTGACCTATGCACAGTTCATTGGATAATAATATTAATAATATATTAAGCATTTCCTTGCTTGGAAAAGGCAAGTTCCAATTGTAAAAATGTGTTTCTGTTCCACTAGAATTATACAAAGTACATTCAATACTTAATAAAAGTGATGCAATGGCATTGGGAGAGGTCTCTGTTTGGCCTATTAGTGTTACCCCCTGGCCTAGGAATGTAAAAAGTAAAGGCAGGTAACTTCTCTGGGGTGAGCTTTCAGGTCTTTACAAATAAAAAGAATTACATTAAAAAATACCAATCTTTAAAAGCACATGAAATGCACCCTTGGGGATTCGACAACGACTGGCAACATGCAGATGACACTAATGCGCTCAGCACTACGCAGGCTCTGAGTTGATGGGAAGCAGGTTTTGATGCTTGAAATACTGAACAACTTGCTGGGGTAGTTCTGCCAGTACTGCTTTGGCCAATGTTTCTTTAGGTGCCTGGATGCAAACAAACAAACAAGATACGTGAATCATCATAGTCACTGCTTCCCAACAGCGACCACAGCCATTCACCAGTGCTGGGCTGGTATTAGGGTCCAACTACTTTTGCCAGCTTTTTCTTCAAGGCCAAATGATAGCGAAGCAAGCAATTACCATCACAGTGACTTCTGCTCGCACCCACTCAGTACCACAAATGGAGTCCAACAAGACCGATCCATTAGTAAGAATGTGTTTTGATCATGTACCTTTCCTTCCCCCCGGGGGCCCCAGAGCACTTTAGAGGGCTTTGCTGCCTAGGTATGATGCACTCATTAAAGAGCTCATTCAACCTTGGACACAGCAGGTGGTCTAACAGAGGAAGGAATGATGGTCAGGTTATAGCCACCACACTGTCATGTTATTCTTCCCTAGAAAGTCGGATCTCCAGGGTAACAACTTTGAGAATTGGCACATCATAAACATGCAGGGCATGAACAGACAAAACCATTACAGCAAATTAAGAGAAGTGGACTACATGTCTTGGTAGCTGATTCATGCGTCTGCTCTGTCCCTTAGTTAGCAGATACTGAACTGGGGAAGTGAATGAAAGAGCTGCTAAATGATCAGTATAGGTTTCATTTCCTGTGGGCTAGGAGGGACACACAAAACACTTAGCATGTGTCAAACTGATCCATAATAACTTCCCTCCTAATCAATAAAACTGTTTCATTTGTCTGCACCCACAGAGAAAGATGACTGCCTAGAAGGATTGGGGGGGTGTCAGGGATTCTGAACTATAACCCTAGCTCTGTCAGACTTGTGCGAATCAGGCAGTGTTACTATGTTTACAGAGGACTTCAGTGATTGGCTGTAAAGCATTTTGAGATGCTCAGAAAAAAGATGGTATAGAACAGGGGTGGGCAAAATGGTGAATACATCCAGTGGTCAGACTCCGTTTCTCAGCAGCCCTGTCAGAGGTGGCACCTGGCTGCTGCTACTGCTGGACTCAGCTCCGCTGCCCAGGTACCCCAGCCCATCAGCCCCGCACCCACCACCAGGGGTGGGACCTGCGTGGGCAGGGAGTGTGGCTGGGCAACTGGGATGTGGCCAGAGGTGAGACAGGCAGGCAGGGCCAGGGAGACCCTGGGATCATGAGGCAGTGACAGCATAGGGCCGGGGTAGAGCCAGGGCAAAGCTGCGATCTGCCCAGATGCCCTTGCAGTGAGCACAGGGCAGAGGCAGAGCACATGGGCAGAGGCATGTAGGGAGCAGATCGCGGCTCTACCCCAGCCCTGTGCTGTCACCACCCCAAGATCCCAGCCACAGATGCAGCTCCTCACGTGGCTTCTGGCTTGACTCCATGAATTATGGGGCTGTGACATCACAGGGCTGGGGCAGGGCTGCAATGTACTCCATGCACACCCCTACCCACAAAACCAGGGTTCTTCCTGGCCCCAACCCTGTACTGTCATGTGCCTGTGATCCTGGGGTCTCCATGGGGCAGGTCAGTGTCTGGGGCATGGAGCTGTGTCCATGGACAGGGCCGGGATTTTGGGGCAGTGACAACATGAGGCCATGACAGAGCCGTGATCTGTTCTATGCACACCATAGAACCTGCACCTGTCACAGGGGCATAAGGGCTGTGCATCATGGTTCTGCCCTGGCTCCAGCTCTATGCTTTCACCGCCCCAAAATCCTGGGGTCACCCCAGCCCCACTTGCCTCTCTCAAGCCCAGCTCTGGCCCCATCCCAGCCCTGCCAGCCATGCACCCTGCCTGCACAGGTCCTGCCCCCGGCAGTGGTTGTGAGGCGGACGAGCCGGGGTGCCCGGGCAGGAGGGGGGGGGTCAGCAGGGGCAGCCAGAAAGAGCCACCACCACTGGGAAATTGAGTCTGTCACAGACTGGATTTGGCCCATGGGCCATATTTTGCTCAACCCTGGTGTATAGAAGCACCAAGTACTACTGCCCAAGCACTTGTCTGAGACTCAGGTGACTTGGCAATCTGGAGAATTTCAAAGCAGTTTATATCTCATCTGAAGCCCAGCATCTCAAGAGAAGCAGGTGGGATTCCAAGTCTGATGGAATGAACTTTGTAGCAGGGCACCAAGATGTGCCTGCCACTTTAAAGGGCAGAAGCAGGCTGGCCAGGCTGCTCAGAAGGCTAGGCAGAGCTCCACAGCTGTGGGTTGCCCAAGCAACGGCCTAATAGGGTAACTGGCCCACACCTGCAGGCAGTCGGTTGACCAGGAGGAGGTAGGGCCCTGGGGGACATATAAGCCTAGGGCTGGAACTAGCAGGGACACTATTTCTCTCTAGCAACTGCCAAGGAAAGGAGCCTCTGCCCAAGTGAGCTATCTATCTGAGACTAGGTGCTGCCTACAAGAACAGTGAGGATCCAGGGGTCTAAGGTACCCAGGGCTGAGAGATGTGTTGTCCTAAGGGTGGCAGTTTTACCCTATTAAAGAGATAGAACACAGTCTCCGTTAGTGTTGTTACGTTGTAGCCCAGGGGCTTGTATTTGTGTTATTGTTTAATCCAGGGGACCAGGATGAGGCTATAAGGAGAGGTTTGGGTGCCTCATTAGTGCTCTGAGAAAAGGGCACAGGATCTGGGCAGAGCCCAGTGACAGGCACATAAAGCTGGGTGCCAGAGAAAGGATGGTGCAGAGCTGGGTGCTAGAGAGAGATGCCAGAGAGGGCAGTGCAGAGCCAGGCGCCAGAGAGGGAGGTGCGGAGAGAGAGACATGGAGCACCAGGGATAGGTGCAGAGAGCTAGACGTCAGAGAAAGATGCAGAGTCAGGCACTGGGGAGAGAGGCAAAGACAGTTAGGCACCAGAGAACTCAGTGCCCGAGTTCTGTAGAGACACAGGAGCCAGAGGGCTCCACGCCAAGAGGGTGCACAGAGTTGATAACAATAGTGGAACATCTGTGAGGCCTGGGGCATGATAAAGGAAGGTTGGAGTCATGTGTAAACCCCTAGACATTGGGGCATTAAATGGGCAGCTTCCCACAGTATTATAACTAGTATCTTAAAAACAAGGCATGGCAGGAAATGCTGGGAAGACTGCCCTAGACAGGTGGGTGGCCCTGGAGAGTGCCCCCTGTCACAAACCTGATTTCACAACCATCTGTTTTTGAGAGGGGTGCGACTGGCTGAAGCATGCAGTCTCTTAGGCCTGGTCTGCACTAGTAAGTTGTCTTCAGAAGTTGCCTTCTCTCACCAAAACGTTTGCATGAGTCCACACACAAACATGATGGAAGCCAGCAACACTCACTTTTCTGTCACCTGGAATGATATGAGCCCTCAGCCAACACTAGTTTTATGCCAGCACAGACATATTTTAAAAGCATAGCAATACCACTAGGTGCGAGCCCTGGACTCTGACCCACCATGCACTGTGCTTTCTGCCAACTTACATCTTGTAGCAAGAGTGCATGGAACAAGCAAAGCAGCCACAGGTGCACGGGCTCTTGTGAAACAGAAATGCTGGCACTTGTAAGATGACAGAAGATGTGGTGGCAAATCCTTCTAATGCAGACCTGGTCTAAGCACTGATTGTTCCCAACTGTGCTAAAAGAATCGAATTGTTCCCCCTTACTGAAAGAAAATGAGCATGGCATCTCATTTCAGATCTCTACAGGAGCTTCCCCCCTGGGGTGAGATTTCTGGAGCTGGCTTCTCTCCTGCTGGCCATGAAGGGCATCTACTAGACACCACAAAGCCTCATGCACTTACATTGCGGAACTCACGGAATGGCACAAACTGCACAATGTCCCGGGCAGCCTCTTCGCCGGTGTATGACCGGAGCACCCGGTTGTCACCGTCCAGGAACTCCATGGCTGCAAAGTCTGCATTCCCCACTCCTATGATGATGATGGACATGGGCAGCTTGGAGGCCTGCACTACCGCATGTCTTGTCTCATCCATGTCACTAATGACGCCATCTGTGATGATCAGGAGGATGAAGTACTGCTGTGGACACAGAGCAGAGAGTCATATCCAACATGGCACTGGGAGTAGGAAATGGACTTGTGTGCTCCATTTCACTCAGCTACTCCCTGCCAAAGACAGTCTCTGAGGAGCTGAAAGCGTTAACACAAACATATTCTAGCTAATCAAATCTTAAAAATCTCATTCAGAGGTAAGGATATTTTGCAGTCAGTTGAGGTTGCCACATTAGAAAATTGCATGCAGTCCCTCCTCACAACCCAGAAATACCTATCTATATCCATCCTCCACACTCCAAGAGTTTAAAGAGCCCTTAAATGGCCTCCTCATAACCTCCCCTTCCTTCACGTGCTAAGAGATTTGCCCCTCACCATCCTTTTTCTGGTCCCTTCCCTGTCTTATTTCCCTTAGTTTCCTCACTAACCTCTAGACGTTCTTTTCCATGGGTGCCCACAAAGCAACAAAGGCAGAAGCACCCAAAATGAAGTGACAATATGGTGACAAGAGCCTGACAATATGGACAAAGCAGGCAGGAAAAGTTTCTAGCTCAGCAATGTTGGACCACTACAGTGCAACTTCCTAGGAACTAGCCAATTGCCTGACACAGGGAGCAACGGGCTGGAAAACTAAGGCTCTGATTCCCATCAAAGGCTGCTTGCAGCAATCAAAACAGTAGAGGTAGGCAGCACACAGCCGTTGTTAGAAATACGTAGCTGAGGAGGCAGTCTGCTCCAATAGAGGAGCCAAAGACCTAAGAGAAGTGAGCAGGTCTGGGTCTCACCATTAAACAGCCATACAAAGCACTGGCAATGGTTTGGGCTGAAGTGGAAAATAAGTTATACAAAACAGCTAACACTCAGGCCAATGGTAGGGACTAAACTTAAGGCAACTGTGACGCAGCAGCAGAAACATAGCACATCTAGATGGACAAGGCCAGGGCAGGACTAGGAGCACTTAGAAAGAGCCTCAGCCATCCAGAGGCCCAGTGTAGGAATGAGTTATATGACCAATCCAAGCTATGGCTGGGTAACAGTACCTACACACAAGCTAATCAGTCCATCTGCAGCATAGCACAGAGACAACTACACTGCTACTAGCTCAGGAGACAGCCTATGTGAAACACTGCAGCACATGTGAAAGCACTGGTATCTGGGATGACAAATCTGCCATGTAGACATGGCTGCAGAGGGCCCACAGGACACCACACTACAGAATGAAGGCCCCAACAACCACAGTAACAAAGAAATGGATAAGCAACTGAAGGACTACGGGCCATGTGCTAGCAACCTCAGGCCTCAGCAAGTATGGGCACAAAAGCCATAACAATAATGCTCAGAAGCAAAGATGTAGCAACATACACAGAACTTAAAAGAAGGAACCTGTTGTGGGAAAGAAGAGTTCAGAGGAGGTGCCTGAGCACCAATCAGAGTGTGCATAGCTTCAATGCTGGCTGCAGGTTTAGCACTTTTGTGAATGATTCTCTTAATACAGAGCTCATCTAATTTAGCAACACAGATTCCTCTCGTGTCATTACCCAGGATGTGGCACGGGAAACAATGCCAGATTTTTGTCAGGTGAATTTCATCCTTTATTTGCCAAGCCCTGAAACATAATCAGTGAACAAACAGTATATATGTTTACCCACTCCCATATGGTCACTTTTTTTTGTTTGTTTTGAAAGGAAAAAAAAATACAGCAGCTTTAAAGCTATTCAAAACATCCCATAGATGTGCCCTCCACAGCAGCGCTGCTTGCTTGGCAGGAAGCAAGATAGAACTCAAAAACGACTCCTGGTCAGGCCTCTGCTACTCACAGATAGAGTGGATACAGATTATCTAATACATCTGGGTGCTGGGAGTCTGTATAAGAAAAATACAGACTTTTCATTACATGACGGAATACAGCCACCATCACAGAAATAAAATGATCCTTGAAGTGTTGCTAGGCCAAAGTCAAAAGTGGTTTTTGGCCTCAAATATTTCCATTGAACAGTTTAGTTTTGCCCGAGCACGATGCCAATGTGAAGAGATCTGTCTCAGGTTTTTTTATTGGTATATAATATGCAAAGATGCCCATCCCACCATTTGGTTAATAACTCAGCCACCTTGCTTCAGTACAGTCAAAAAGCCGAGGTTTAATTGATTCAATCTTTGCAGGTTAGTCTAAGCTGTGTAGACTGAACTGATAAGCAAGTGAATAGACATTCACTTGATTCTGGAAATGCAGCCACATGCCTGCAGTGGCTCAGGCTGGAAGCTGGAGGGCACTAGAAGATGCCTCCCTGCTTGGAGCAAACAGCTTGAGCAGACAGCTTGGGCCAAAGCTAGCCCGCACACCCCGCGAGGGCGGGGTTGCAGGGGAGGTGCAACGCATCCTGGGATGCTGGGGGTCTGTGAATTAACTTGAATCTGGAGGGGATCTGGGACAGAAGTTCAATAAACTATTTAACCTAAATCAGTTAAGTCTCTGATACTACCTCCATTTAGGTTTATCTTAAACCGGTTTTGGCTATTTTAAAAGCAGTTTATGTGCACTGAACTTCTGTTGTGTTACAGATTTGAACCAGTTTCAATCACTTATGCTGGTTTATATGCAATTTCTGTCCCTAGCCCTCCTATCGATATCCCAACTCAGTGATGTCTGGTCATACAGACTAACTTGTAAAGTATTGGGCCCGTAAAGGGAGCACACTGTCTCTTCTCTTGCACCTTTCAGTCTGAAAAATTCCAACCATCCTGGTTTTTATCTTTTCTTTTCTTTTTTTTTTTTTTTCTTTTTTAATTCCTAGGACTGAGGATCTTTTTGAGTCAAATTTTCAAGTGAGCCCATCCAACCTGTACCAATGAGGCCTGCTCTTTTTTGTGGGATTCACTTGCATCTGTATCTAGGCACATACACAACTAATCATTTTGCACAGGCATATTTTCAAAGCATCAGAGCTGTTATATGCAGACTCAGAAAGTTTGGAAACAAAGTGAAGGGACAGAAGAATGCTGCATGAAGGGCTTACTTCTCTGTGTCTTTCTCTTGTAAATTTTTGCCTTTAGATATTCTAGAGCAGGTCTCAGGCAGGTGGAGCTGTCTCTCTCCAGGTGGTAAAGAAGTACAGAGCTCAGAAAGGCCTTATGAGGAGAGGCAGAGAGACATGGCACCCTTCATCCTAGAGAAGCGTAGGCTCAGGGGTGACTTGGTGACAGCCTATAAGTATATAAGGGGTGTGCAATAGGCCTGTGCGAAATGGCAAGTATTCACTTCGGATTCGGCCGATTCGGAGGGACAGTGATTCGATTCAGATTTGAATCACTGTCCCAATTCAATTCAGCCAAATTGGATCCGAAGATATGGCACCGATTCGGAGATTTGACCATAGATTAAGCAGGCAGCAGTCCCTACCACGCTGGACACAGCTGTCTCCAGCTGGTAAGTCTGTTTGGGTTGGGGGAGGGGGAAGGGAAGGGGCATGGGGGAAGGAGGGATTGGGGTTGGGGCTGGGGCTGAGACTGGGACAAGCTGCCCAGCTGGGGCAGGGGGTGCGGGATGCAGGCGTGGCAGCACTTGCAGCAAGAGGGGTGGGGGGCAGAAGGGTACAAGCAGCAGCAGGGCATAGCCCCTGCTCCCAGCGTTGCCGCACCCACATCTGCGCTGGAAGCAGGGGCTCTGCTCTGTCGCTACTTGCCCAGCTGGGGCAGGGGGGCACGGGATGTGGGCACAGCAGCACTGGGAGTGGGGGCTATGTCCTGCTGCCACTTGCCCTCTTCTGCCTGGAGCGGGCTGCTCCTGCTTCCCGTCCCCCTTCCCCCTGCCCTGGCTAGGCAAGCAGCAGCAGAGCATAGCCCCTGCTCTGAGTGCTACCATGCCTGCATCCTGCATCTCGCACCCTCCCACCCACCTCCTTGAGTCCTGTGTCCCCTGACCCAGCTGGGAAGCTTATCCCAGCCCCAATCCCTCCCTCCCCCACACCCTTTCTCTCCCCACTCCGCCCACCTGTGTCCAGCCTGGTGAGGACGGCTGCCTGTTTAGTCTATGGTCAAATCTCTGAATCGGCCGAATCTTTTCTGAATCAATTTGGAGGCTTCCAGTTTGATTTGGAGCTTTTAATTGGTCTCCTGATCCGATTCAAACCATTTTGGGTTTTTTTCTTTCTTTCTCTTTTCTCTCTTCTCTCCAGAACCACTTCTTCTGTGAGGACTACATTTGACTCAACCAATTTGCATGAAAGTGCTTGTTTACAGGCACTGGGAAAAAGCTAACAGAGGTTAGCCTCCAGGTTTTATGGCAAGGAGAGCAGAGTATCAACAAACAGATGGTGCTACAGCTCCAACATCTAGCAATCAGCCTTCCCCAGCAGCTTGAACAGATCAATAGGATGAAGTGCTCTTGATGGTCTGTTATTGAAAGGGTTGCCAAGGTTCTTTGGGTAAATCTGATATATTTTATTAGACCAACTCAGATAGTTGGAAAAATTCTTCTTTGCAAGCTTTCGGGTATACATACCCTTTGTTGGGCTGAGGAAGCAACCTATACCCTTGAAAGGGTTGCTGCATTCCAAGCTGATCAGGCCTCTATCAGTGCCAATAGCTTCTCTCTTCAATTCTACACCTTTTCCATAGCTCCTGGGCAGGGAAGAAGCAAGTGTTGTGATTTTTGGAGGTAATTTGCTAAGGTCATAGCTGCATAATGCCCCTCAGAACCATACAAAGAAAGTACATGCAGATCTTGGAATAGAGTTAGCATGCCTTTCTATAGTTATTTAATCCAGGCTAGGACTGGGCCTGGATGAGGCAATGCCTGAAGAAAATCTTGCTGCATGACACTAGGCAACACAGCTATGAAAGCCCCTCTAGAACAGTGGTTCCCAGCCAGGGTGCCATAGTACTCTGGATTGCCATGATATCTGCCAGCCTTAGCATTGTTAGAGTAACAGAATCATAGAAAATTAGGGTTGGAACAGACCTCAGGAAGTCACCTAGTCCAACCCCCTGCTCAAAGCAGGACCAGCCCCAACTAGATGATCCCAGCCAGGG